TAGCATTCATGACATTAGTGCTAGTTTAGTTATTTATGTTCATGATAAGTTAAGTACATGTCAACCACTGTTACCAGGAGTATATTGGGAGCTTGACAGTTTATTTTATTTCACCAGTACTGGACAGCTTTTTTTAGCTACATCGAGTGAGTCTGAGACAGAGTTATAAAGGGTCATTGCTGTGAATTATTTTGAGTTTATTTATTGTGACTAAATTAACATCCTCGCATTGTAAATGCATGTTTGTATATATTACTTTCATGGTATACTTGATGTGAGGAACAATTCCTAATCATGTATATTAGCATACTTTAACATGTAGCAGTTGCTTTTTTTATTGTTGATATTTTACCTGAATTGTCGTATAAACAATTTTTGCAGGATCAATTGTGCTCTACATTTGTAATAAAATTTGCATAATAGAACTCCACATGGATTTGTGTTTATAAGATGTAATGGTTGAAAGGGTTAATAAATTATGTTTGATAATGAACTACAGGAATTACACTTCAAATAATGAGCCAAATTTGTTTGCACCGGTCAGTATCGAGGATACGCTAACTAATGGTAAAGTTGTGGATCATTTTAAAGAGTATGGGCGAAATGGTCGCAGAGCTGCCATAAAGTATCTAAAATACCGTTTGCAACATATCAGAAGTATGTGACACGTGTCATTACTACATTTAGAAAGTTCAATAAAAATAGAATCAGAGTTTCCGGGCTGGAAGATTTGAACCATTTTCGGCAAAGTACATTAAAATTGCCTGATATGCCATGCTCTCTGTAAGCAGCACAACTGAGCCAACAGAAGTTTATGGCAGTGTTGCACTCTCTTTGGCAAAAGAAGTGTTTACTTTAACTGAAAAGCGACAACAAGATCTAAAAAAAACTGAAAGTGGTGAAAGAACAGCTCTCAGAAAAAGGTGAGAAGACAGAGGGTTTGAAAGAATGAGTTAAAGAGAAATCCAAACGAGCCAAACGAGCACTGGATAGAGAAGACTACTGGCGGAAAACGTAGATGCCAAGAAACAAATGTAGACCTTTACAACACTTCCGTTTGTTGCTAGAATGCTGCTGGGAAAATCATGTGCCAGATTGCCAACACTGTGAGTGATGGAGCAGCTACTGAGTGTAAATTCAATAAACTGCTAGAAATCTCTGAAATTAAGGCAAATTATGCTGACCTAAATGTTGAGAATGGCAAACATGTGGATGCCATTATGAATTGTTTCTGTGCACTACACAGTTTAGTTCATATGCCAGAGGCGTTTTTGGAGGTGGAAAAGTCCTTTTTTGGTTCAGATTATGTCAAAGTTGCTGGTTGTGAATCCTTCATGCCTAATGAACCATGAACTCTCACTTTGGTCAGACTCTCCTGTAACGCATTTGCTAGAGAAGCAGATGAAAAGTCGGGCTGTTTTCGCAGTTTTAAAACTTACATTTCTTGAAAGATAACAAATTATTTATGATCCCTTAGTTTCTTATCGTGGTAATAGGTTCAATATTGTATTTACTAATGCTGGTCATGTTATTTTCTTCATGCTAGGATAAAAAGTGTTCTGTCTATTCAGTCACTAAATTGGAATGTGAATGTGTATTTACTTTACTCAATGAAGATTTCTATGTTGCTGGTTGTAGAGCGTTAGGTTTAATTTCTAAGTTTGTGTCTACTCCATTATGGAGATTGCTTGAGATTAAAAAATGTTATGTACTAGACATGAACTACTATTACCTACAATTAGTTTATTTTCTTGAGGATGCTGCCTTGAATGTGGAGAATTTCATGATGGGCCTTATTTTCTCATTTGAAAATATTGCTGTAAACAAGGATGCTTTCATCATGCACAGTCAAGAATATGATGGTCTCATTCGAATGATTCTGGGATCCGTGTTACCAGCTCTCGCAAAGTTACTAAAGAAAGAGTTTAAAGATCAGCTTCCTGGTGGACTTTATGAAGTTATAACAACTGAATTCCGTGAGCAGACGCTTAGTGTTGGTAAGCACAATAAGTATGTTTGGGTATCTTGATCAACTTGCGTTTCCGTTATAACGGTATTAGCCTCAGAGGTCTCTACAATGTTTTGTATAAACAAGACTGATCAGTGGTTTATCATCTCAGGTTGATGAGACAAGTGAAAAATTGGTTGCTGCTGCCAGGAAGGGAGTGAAGTCTCTCCAAGTTGCATTCCAAAAGAGAAAAGAAGAAATTGAGAGAAGACGAAAAACAATTCTGGAAGAACAGAGGCTCAAAGTACAAAATAGAAGGGAAATAAGCTTGTCCAATTTGAACAAGATACCCATCAGATAATTTGTTATGGTCTTTAGCAAACTATTGGTCAAGTTGATTCCATGTTAGAATCAATGCACCCAAATAAAGAGAAAGAACAAGCTCTGAAAGCCCAACTTCGTTTTCGAAAAAAATGTATTGAAACTTGTTTCTTGATGCAGGAGACAAATCGGTCTACAGCTTTTCTCGTAAACAGGGCGGGTAAAGAGAGTAAACTTGTCCTGGAATGAATTAGCCAGTAATGTTAAAGTATAAGTCAATCATGAATGTGATCTGTCGGATTCGCCCGACCCAGAGACCTCTTTCCTTGTCGGCAAAAAAGTGCGACATGGGTTTGAAGAAGGAAGGAAATTGGTAGATTACAGAGGCACAGTTCTTTTGCAGGTATGATCATAACAGACATGATGATCAGTAATCCAGATAAACATAATAAATAAATAAATAAATAAATAAATAAATAAATAAATAAATAAATAAATAAATAAATAAATAAATAAATAAATAAATAAATAAATAAATAAATAAATAAATAAATAAAGGTCAGTTTTTGCTCTTCTATATGAGCTGATAAAGTGACTGTGTCTATCTATAATTTATAAATGTATGTGCGTATATTTAGAACATTGGGATGTTGAAACATGTGGGTGTGCTAATCTGAGCACCCTATATTTTGTGTCATGTATGTATACATTTTTTGTGAATGAACTGTCCATTTGGTATTTTACATGCAATTGATATGACGGTATAGCATCCATATGGCATATAATTTTGTACATTTAACTTTAAATCACAACTAAATCATTCGTCTGAATAAGACAAATGCATAATAATGGCAATCGTGTTGGCAATTTATCACAAAATAATCGAATGTCATATAACAGTCAGACTGTATTTTCTATTTTACATGCACTAAGAATTCAACAAGGGGGTTGCTACAGCACAATTAATTAAGTTGTTTGGAATGAGTACACATTTATTGCAAGTATAAACAATGTTATTTGCATAATTGTGGCAGATGAGCTGTATTTCGTCAGAAAAAAAAGTTCTGTAGTTTTACTACAAATAAAGCTCAGTGACCAATGAAAACACAAACCGAGTGACAACGGACAGTTGCCCACATGCCATCAACCCACTATGTTGCCGTACTACCTCTTAAAGCCTCCGCTATGTTATGGCTAAAAACAAACAATTACAAAATAGGTGGTTTAGTGGTTACAGTTCGGTAAGTGGTCTTAACCGACACTGCCAACCTGCAACTGGGTACTTTTGGACTGATATTACACCCTATGCATGTGATCAAGATGGAATTCTGGATAATAATGGAATCCCCTTAACAGGTCTAACAAATGGCTACATTCTTTCATTAATTTAATATGCAATTGCGCTTTAGTTAATGATTTTTTGCCTAAAATGAAAAAAATATCCAAAATTGCAGATTTTAGAGGCAGCCATATTGACTAATTAGCATTTTTTGATTTCCTTTGTGTTGATTGGCGGTCAGACATACCTAATCATTGTTGACAGTGTGAAATGTGGCAATAGGTATAATATACAACAGATCTGTCAACAGTACATGTAGTAATGCGATGCTGCTTTAACTAAAGTTGCCAAATGTTTATCGAATTTAAATCAGACGATGATCAGAATTACTGTATAAACGAATGACTATTCTATTTGCCCCAGATTAGAATACGATTACGCTACTGCACACTGTAACAAAGGCATGGAACGTGAACTATACCATGCCTCGATTGAATGTAACGACATACGAAATCGGTTTACCTGGTGACCAAGATAGTTTATAATTCGCTCAACAATTTTTTTAGGATACGTTGGTCTGAATTTCTGGTAAGCTCCAGCGATTGCAGCACCAGTGAACAACCGTTTGTAGGGCGACATGGTACAGCTGGCGTGTCACGTGATGCCTGACCGGAACTCCAAGGTCATACATAACAGCAGTTCAGTGAGAACGCAGGATGTTGTGTATCACAGGCTAATATATGTGCCTTAAATATAAACTATTGTTCACAGCAGTTCTACTTGTTTTCCTGTAGGCGAATTACGTTAGTTTATGGAACAGTGATTCAATTTTGAATTTGTGCCAACGTTTTCACGTTTCTGTCGTGAACTGACTTTTTGCGAGATTTTTAAAGCACTATAAAACCATTAATATTTTAACCAGCGTTAAATTCATTTTGATATTTCCAGCATATATTGCCTGATTTTAAGTTGCTTCACGTATTTGCAAGAAAAACAATGAGTTCTGTCGTTATTTTACATGTTTAATGCATTTATACTAGCACTTTGAAAGTTTGTTGACCTGACATAAAATAGCAGTCTCACATCTCTAAAACAATTCGGCCCTCAGTGGTGGCGGCATCGGACGGGGGTGTCGCCCCTTCAAGTTGAAACCTTTTGTGTCAGCAAAATTTGCCCCTCCGAATGCAGGAAATAACGTTTTAGAGGATCTAGATTTCAGATCTCGTCAACTAAAATGTCGTGCCGCCGCTTCTGGCCCGTCGTGAAATTAACAAGTGAAGTGCAGGCACAACCAGTGTTTCACACCTTCTCGTATAGGCAACGCTGTTCAACATCAATACCTAACGTCCCTCTCGAAGGTCTGACTTGGAAAATAATCTTTTTTGTTGCTGTGTACAAAAGACACAATAAGTTTTATGTTATTTTAAAAGCACTACGCCCATTAACGTACGTTCAAACTCCTAGACGTGATAATTTAGCTATTCTCAATAGTAAAGATCCGTCATCAAAACTCAAAATGACCAAAGCAGGATCAAGCCACACCATTCCCAGACAATTTGCCTTGATGGTACTGCTAGCTCGCACTACCGTGTGTACATAGAGACGATTGGTTTCGGGTAAACAAAGTGATCCATGCCGTTGACTTCCTATTGATGAAAATCGCTGAGCAGGTCCGGATTCCTAAACGTTTAATTGAAGATAAGATTTATAGCTTGGCTAGTGTCGTCAAGTGAGGACATACATAAGAGTTGGTACTACACGCAGAAATTATGGAGGGGTCAAGAAAGGGAGCAGCCAACATGTATTTATGAGGAGAATGTGAAAACTCGTTGGATTATTTACGTTCTTAAATATAAAATTAATCCGAAAAAGTACACTAAATAAACAAAAAAACAGCATGCCAGTACTTAATCGATTTTTAACTCCTTGACCAGTTTCACCACAAAACGAATACGTAATTCTGTTTACCGTATCTGTAAACGCAATGCATGTGTCCCGCTTCTCTGCAAGCAAAAGGCACATTTGGCGAAATAAGCAGTTCATGCACACAATATTCACCGGATGATGTGTGACGTTGCCTTGACGACGATTATTGTAAGTACTGCCTAAGTGTATGTTGTAATCCGTTGCAGTTGATAAACCTGGACGAAGTGAGAAAGAGTTTCGTGCCAGTTTTTCAGTCACACGAAGACTAACGTGAGGGGAATCAGAGTATACATCAAGACGTTTTCACGACGCTTGATAGAGAAGGTATCAACGAAGGCACACTGCACATTCTCAGTCAGGATTTTGACCAATTGTGCTTATGGACAATATCTGTACAATTCCATACTTAACATTGTCATTTTAAGATATTGCACCGCCACGAGCCATCTAGATACAATGTAGTGACTGTTTGTATTCAAGTTTTTTCCATAAATTTTCAATTTTGAGGTGATGTATCATTAGTTTCACAACACAAACAATTGATTATCCATCCGCTTTAGGCCATTCGTTTTTGTTGTTTTTTTTTTGTTACAAACGTATGGTAGTACATCATTGGATACGTAATATATTACTCGGTTAGTAACTGATATGTACTTTATTTATTACGCGACCTTATTTCTCATGTAGATTCTGCGTAAATGTATATTGATCGCTCTAGTCTTCGTTCGCACAATAACTGGATTGCGATCAAGCGCTCATTTATAATACGTTTGGTACAATGTCGTAGTTATGATACAATTGTATAAAAATGAAACAGTGAGCAGTTTAGTATGATAAAAAGCGTGTACATCTTCTCATTATCACGATAGATGGTGTGCAAATCGTGGCCGAAAATATGTGGTTGCTTTGATTCATGTTTTTGATAATTAAACATTCAATATTCGTGACATATGCATACATCATAACCTCACTAATGTTAATTGCATATTTAATCTGAATTGGACAAGCTTGAACTTGTCACGTATTGCAGCAAGCATGTATGACGTCTAGAAACAGGTCAGTGGGTCACAAACTCTCGGAGCCGGACATGAAGTTGTCTTGACTCAGTTGCGGTGAGAACATTAGCATCTTAATATTCACAAGGTCAATATGCAGTCGTGAATTGCCATTATTTTCATATATGTTATAGTGAACGCTGGGCAAAAAATGAGTTATTGACCGAGGCACTAAACATAACTTGTTTTTGAGCTTCCTGAAATATACATCAACCCAATGATGAGTGGGAAGACAATGTGATTTTTGTAGCCATACAAGTATACAGTATAATTTATAAGTATTGCTTATGATTCTAGCAGCGGTGTTTGAGTTCGTTGGTTTGAATTGAGTCTATTTCCTGGACATGTATTCTCAGTTAAGTTTGGTAGACAAGATTGCACAAAGGGCGACACGAGTCATGCTGAAGTATTGACTAAAAAACCTATGGGACAAAGAGTGATTAGAATAGATTGCACGACGTTGATGTCAAACATGTGTGAGTTGTCAAAAGTTACTCCAATATTACATACAGAATTAACTTTTCAACAGAACTAAAGCATATTATAGCACTGTCGATCGTATAAGACAACTTCGAAAATTTTGAATAAAGTGCATTTGTACATAATTGTTACTAATAACACCTAAAATATGACAGTGTTTATTCAACATTGTGTTTTTCATATAATTTTTGAAAAATGTATATATTGTTATTGTTCCTTCCATAAGATCCTCCTCATTTGGATGACGATATATGTATTCACCTTCATGCATTCGCAACGTTTTGAATATTTCCGTAGCATTATGATTATTGACAAACTGAAATTGTCACATAAGCGTATTATGCATATATATATATATATATATATATATATA